TATAATATAATATAATATAATATAATATAATATAATATAATATAATATAATATAATATAATATAATATAATATAATATAATATAATCAATATAATATAATTAATATAATATGATAAAATATAATATAATATAATATAATATAATATAATATAATATAATAAATTATAATTTAATATAATATAATCAATATAATATAATTAATATAATGTGATATAATATAATATAATATAATATAATATAATATAATATAATATAATATAATATAATATAATATAATATAATATAATATAATATAATATAATCAATATAATATAATCAATATAATATTATTAATATAAAGTAATATAATATAATATAATATAATATAATATAATATAATATAATATAATATAACTATTTTAACATACCATTATATTATATTATATTATATTATATTAAATTATATTATATTATATTATATTATATTATATTATATTATATTATATTATATTATATTATATTATATTATATTATATTATATCATGTTCCGGCGCCATAAAAAGTATATTAAAACCTTTTCTCAACAATTTTCACAGGATTTGAGGTGTTGGCGTTAGAAAGACCACCATCTTGTGGCTAAACATGGCAGACGCAGCATAAAATAAACCAGAGATGCCCAAACTATCGACAGTGGGCCAAAGTTGGCGCATGCATGGTAAGAAAGAAGCGAGAATGATGAGGTAGTTAGAGCAGAGATGCCCAATAGGGCCCGTGGGCCAAAGTTGGTCCATGATAACTTTTGAAATGGCCCGCCATCCCATCTGAGAAGAGAGGGGGAATGATAAGGGTGGTTTCGAGATAGTCAATTCAAATTTAATGTAAACATTTGTTTGTTTGTTTTATTGTTAAAAGCTACTGATTAAATGTTTCAATCAAATGGTGTAAATTTGAGACTTTGGTGAGCAAATCAAGTCAAAGACAGATTCTGCTTGACTAGTGTGTTCAGCACTGAACTCCACTGTGTTATCAGGCAGTGCACACATAGGGCTCAACCTTTTTAGTGCCCTTTTTTGCCCTTTTTAGTCTTGGATAAAAAGTGCCCTTCCAAAATGATCAAAAGTGCCCCCTCGACGCGACACACCCTCCGTCCAGTCCCGCCCTTCAGTAGGCGCACGACAACACTGATCTTGAGTACGCGCGCTGACCTTTGGATGGTCTCTGCACGGGCCTGTGTGTGTACAAGAAGACATTTCCTTCATCCAGAGTGACAAAGATGGAGCATGAATAATTTTCCAGTAAATGGCTGGAATCAGGCGCTTCGCATGCAATAGACACAGGCTTATACACTTCTGTTCATATGACTTCAGCGATAAGGCAGGTGGGAGAACTTTCATTTTTGTGTGAACTATTCTTTTAAATAGAAAAAAAAATTCTGCATCATTACTAAATGTATAAAAAAGATTACATCTAGGCTACATTTAGTTTATACTTTGCTTTATAAAATCTATTTAGTTTTTATTTCCAATGAATCTAACAAAAAACGCTGAAAATAAGAGACGCGACTTCATAAATACACAAGGAATATGTATGATATGGATTTTTCATTCATTCATTTTTTTCAGCTTAGTTCCTTTATTCGTCAGGGGTTGCCACAGTGGAATGAACCACCAACTTATCCAGCATATGTTTTACACAGCGGATACCCAGTACTAGGAAACACCCACATATACACCCACAAAAATATATACAGCCAAAAAAATTATCGTCGCAGTTTTAAAGTTTAAAAACTCAACGAACAGGAACGACAAATCCCACGATGCTTTGCGTTGTGTTCCCGTGATCCCTTGCGCCTGAACGCGTTTGTGCCGTTCATCTTCAACATGGCTAACGAAGGGCCGCAGGATCCAAATATAGATTTTAATACATGGACCCATGGCGAGCTGCAGGCCAAATTGGCCGAATTTGGTGCTCCCAATATGGGTAAGTTAACAACTCTTTCATTACATCGCTGCGGGACAGTATCGCTGAGTTTTTCATTTGTTAGCTAGCGTTAGCCTGTTAGCCTGTTATTTTCCTGTCCGGTGCCCGGGCCTCAGTGCACCAAACGACGCGCTTACACATGTTGTTCATTGAAATGTGTGTTGGAAAGCTGGTTTTGCTCTTGATTTTGCTGCTAGTAATGCATTAAGTCGTGTATGTGATATAAGTAAAGTGTATGATAAGTCGTCCCCGGTTGAACCGAGTGAATGTTTTTGTCTGAACGGGAAATGCAATGGGATTTAAGTGCAGAACTTTTTATACACACATTTTTATACACACCAATACTTTAGCTGCATAATAAATCGTGTAAAATGTCTAATTCACTGTTTATTATCATCATCATTTAAGTTACCTGTGGTTTTCTGTTATCCAGGTCCAAGAGAGGAGCTCATAGACAGACTGAAATCTTATGCACAGGTAAATTAGTTAAGGGTTTTAATTACAGATACAACGTTATTTACATTTTTTTTGTCCTAACATAATCTTTATTACGTTTTCAGCCTGGCATGATCTTTAATAAACCAAACATACCAGGAGAAGACAAGAGCTTGACCACGGTACTGTGTCCTTTCTCTTATTCTCTTAGCAGTATAGTTCACCACAAACATGTAAATTCTGTCACTTTCTCACCCTTTACTTGATCAAACCCTGTTTGTTTTTGTTCAGTTGAACGCTGAAGAAGACGTTTTGAAGAATTGTGTAAACCTGTAACCATTGATTTCCATTGTTGTCCAACTATGGAAGTCAATAATTACATGAGTAACTCCATGCAAATGTGAACCTTGCCATGATAAAACTACGCTTCAACCAAAATAGCCAAACTGTTTCTACATTTTTGGTGTAATGACAAGTGACACAAGTGCCAATTTTACATTTGTCACATACATAGCGAAGCTTTTTCCTCAAAAATGCAAAAACATGTAAAACTAAATACAATCAATCATGTGTTCTTTAGAGAGCAACTCCTATCCTTTTTATTAGGATTGTTTCTTTTGGGTTGGGCAGTTTGATTCACAGAATTTCTGCAAAGTATGTTGTAGACCAGGTGTGGGCAAACTTGATCCTGGAGGGCCGGTGTCCTGCACAGTTTAGCTCCAACCCTATTCAAACAGACTTCCCTATAGAGTTCAAGTGATCTTGAAGACACTGAGGCCCCGTTTACACTAGTGCGTTTTAGTTTTAAAACGGCGTTGTAGAATGAAAACGATCCGCGTCCACACTCGCGTTTTACCCAGCGTTTCTGAACAGCTCTCCGTCCACACCAAAACCCTGAAAACGCACATCACGTGACCACACACACACACTCGGGCAAGCGCTCCAGCATTTCTACCCAGATGAGAGCTCTGCTTGTCGGACTGCTCATCAAGCATCTCCCGCTGGATCTAATCTCACTATATTTGCTAAATGTGATATTTCATTCATCTTGTTGTCTTTATCTAACGACATAGGCCAATTCCCTGACTTTGGTCATTGGAAACTGTTAAGTTACTTGTTCACGGGGAACATGTTTTGGTTAAGCGCAAAGATAAGTTAATGATTAATCCAGGTACATTGACTGATCGCTTGCCTTTATTTCCTACAATGTATAAACTTATTGTATGTTATACTTTTATAATTATCGATTATTAAAACTGATATTCAGCAAAAGAGAGGGTGCGTTTCGTATTTTCACTGAAATTGAAAGGAGGCAGTTGTTATCGGCTCTGTTTTGTTATAAATATCCACACAGTGAAGATGACGCTCATATATGCAGCACGGCGCCTCAACATTTCTGCTGTCTGTTAAGTTGCTAATATTAAAATGAAAATAGGCAGTTCCTTAAATCATGTTTACATTTTATTGTTGATAAAGTGAAACAACGTAGCCAGGGTGATGTGAATGAAGTTATAAAGTACACTGTTCCCTTTGAAGATTTACCCGTGTCCTCTGTATGTTTTCCATATCAAACTGAGAAGGGGGAGACTGCAGCCTTGATCAAACTTGCGAAGTCTTAACTTACAAGAAGAGGATGCGAGACTGAACTATGTGTGGGCTACTTAATATTGAGGAAAAGCCCCAATCAGATAGGTGAACGTTTGCAGCCCCGCCTCCGTTTTCAGATGTCTCCGTCTTTCCCCATCCACACTGAGACGGAGCAGCAGCGTTTCAGAATGAAAACGGCCTCTCCAGCGTTTTCAAAAAGCTCCGTTTTCGGCGCTCGAGAACTCCGGCGTAGTGTGGACGGATGGCGTAACCGTAGCAAAACTTATGCGTTTTCAAACTAAAACGCACTAGTGTAAACGGGGCCTGATTAGTTTGTTCAGGTGTGTTTGACTAGTGTTGGAGCAAAACTCTGCAGGGACACCGGCCCTCGAGGATCAAGTTAGCTCATCCCTGTTGTAGACTGTAAACTCGCAGACTTTTTTTGGTCACATCCATAACGCTTGTTTATTTCCCTCATTTAAAGTACAAAGC